ATATATATATATATATATACACAAAGATACTCAAAAATACATAAATATTTAGTTTATCATTTAATTCCTAGATTTACCTAAAATAAGGATGTACTTAAATGTACTTTTTAAGCTTGCTAGAGAAGGAGAAAAGAGAGAGAGAACTCTGATCAGTAAAGTACTCATTCAGCCCCTGCTGCGGTTTGAGACGGATTGTATAAGGTCTTCGAAATAATTAAATTGTGCTTCTGCATTAACCGAAAGTACTTACAAAAAACATAAAATCTACAATTTCACAACACTAGCAATTATTGGCCTTTATCCTTCGAAAACTAATACCTACACAGAAAATGCCTCTCGAAAAAGATAATAATAATAATAATAATACTTATTTGAGTAATAAAAAGTTAATGCTAGAGCTACGTATATAATTATTTCATTGCTTTAAATGTCCACGATTACTTATAAATGTGACAAAAAGGATACAAAATCACCTGAAGATGATAACAAAACACTAGATAAAGAACTTAAGCAACTTGAGGCATCTATAGAAAAATTAAATGAAATCGAAAAATCTGTCCACGAAGAAACATCTAAAGAAAAAGTTGAAGAACACGATATACCACAGGAACACACAGAATTAAAAATTGAAAAGGAAGTTAAAGATGCTTTACAGAAAGTTGCTGAAATTGATTCCAATAAACAAGACGAAAAGTCTTTTGTTGACCAAATTATGATTAAGAAAGAAATGGCTGAGATTCACGACACAAAGGCTCAAGAGGATAAAACACCTGCTTTAAAAGACGAACTAGAAAAAGCTGAACAAAAACAAGTAGATAAGGATAAAGAGGAAACAACCATTATTGACGAAAAAGAAAGTAAAGCTGTAGAAGACGTTAAAGAAGAAAAAGGTAAAACTCCTGAAAAAGAAACAGCTGCATACAAAGAGCAACCTATAATAAAAGAAGATACAAAAGAAATGCCACAAGATACTAACAAGCTAGAAGAACAGAAAATAAATGAATTTGATAAAACTACGTCAAAAACTGAAGAAAAATTACAAAAACAGGATGACAACAAAGCTGAATATGAAAAGAAGGATACTGCAGAGAAAGAAGCAGATTTTAAACTCAAAGAAGAATTACACGTAGAGAAAAGTGACAAAGAAAAAGATGTAGTTCAAGAAGATCATGAACATGAACTTCCTAAAGAGGAGCAGAAAGAAACTGATAAGCCACAAGCCGATTTAAAAGAAAAAGGACATTTAGAATTAGTGGTAGTTAAAAAGGAAACCGAGAAAACATCAGAAGATGAAGATAAAAAACTAAAAAGTCCTGAACATTTGAGAGAACTCGAGAAAAGTGATGCGTCATCTCCATCATCAGAAGGACATGATGAAAAGAAGGAAGCAGGCGATATTAAACATCCTGATTCAAAAACGTCCATTTCACCAATAGTTACTCAAGAGAAGAAAGAATCTATAGAACAAATATGGGCAAAAGGCAGTGACCAAATTAAATTCGAACATGAAATAATTGGTAAAGATGCTACTAAATTAGAAAAGGAAATCGATTCACTTACAAAGGAGCAAGGCAAAAAGCCTGATCAGCGTGAAGATAAAAAAGATGAGTCACTGCCGCAAGAACCAACCAAAGAATATGAGAAACATGAAGAAAAAATTATAGATGAACATGAAGATGATTCTAAGTTGGAAAAGAAAGTTGACTCACCACTGCAAGAACCAGTCAAGCAGCATCAGAAACCTGAAGAAAAAATTGTCGATAAACATGAAGACGTTTCCAAATTGGAGAAGAAAGTTGACTCACCACCGCAAGAACCAGCGAAACAGCATGAGAAACTTGAAGAAAAAATTGTCGATAAACATCAAGACATTGTCAAGTTGGAGAATAAAGTTGACTCACCACCGCAAGAACCAGCGAAACAGCATGAGAAACTTGAAGAAAAAATTGTCGATAAACATGAAGACATTGTCAAGTTGGAGAATAAAGTTGACTCACCACCGCAAGA